ATACAAGAAGTCATGGTTGATTTGATAATCAAGGTTTAACCTAAGGTGTATACAAGAAGTCATGGTTGATTTGATAATCAAGGTTTAACCTAAGGTGTATACAAGAAGTCATGGTTGATTTGATATTCAAGGTTTAACCTAAGGTGTATACAAGAAGTCATGGTTGATTTGATATTCAAGGTTTAACCTAAGGTGTATACAAGAAGTCATGGTTGATTTGATATTCTAGGTTTAACCTAAGGTGTATACAAGAAGTCATGGTTGATTTGATATTCAAGGTTTAACCTAAGGTGTATACAAGAAGTCATGGTTGATTTGATATTCAAGGTTTAACCTAAGGTGTATACAAGAAGTCATGGTTGATTTGATAATCAAGGTTTAACCTAAGGTGTATACAAGAAGTCATGGTTGATTTGATCTTCAATGTTTGTTTCCATATTTCCTGATTGTGAAATATGTTATTACCTTATATGATACAAATTTAGTGGTAGAAGGGAGGAATGTGATCTGAAAAAATAACATAGCCAGCAGGCAACCATCTTGGATTTTGACAGTTATAGAATGTTATCACGATTTCTGGAGAAGTACTCCATAGATTATTTTAAAATTTCATATGTAGGCTCCTCTTGGTTCTTAGTTGTGTATTGTGTGTATTGTACCATTTTGGGGATAAGTACTTGATTGATCATTCTGAAATTTCAGTTGTAGATTGCCCTTCATCCTTAGTTGTATATTATTTTATCTTGGGATGCATTGAGAAAACTAAATTCTGACAGGCAGCCATATTGGATTTTGAATATGAAAACTTTTTGTTGTCATTTCATAAGAAATTCTTGATGGATCTTTCTCAAATTTCAGTTGTGTATCATGTTGGTCTCAAGTTGTGCCCATTTGATTTTGCAGCTGTTTAGAAAAACAAAATGACAGAATGATGGCCATCTTGGATTTGACAATTGCTATATCTTTAGTAATATTGGATTTATAGAATCTTTCACCCCCTTGGAGATGAAATGAGATGGGTTGATCTCAACCTCAATGGAAAGATGATTAAGTCATCAGACATGAGGCTTGCCAAATGTTTGCAACATCTTTTTCCAAGGGTTGAGATCAACCTATCTCATTTTACCTCCAAAGGGGTGAAAGATTATTTTTCTCTTACTCTGCTGGCATTATTAGGTACTTGTCTGTGTTTTTGTTGTCTCAATGCTTTGTATTGTTGACATGATTTAATGAATTGTTACTGTCATATCATTGTCCTGACAGGGGAATCCCCGTCTTAACCCTAAGGTGAGACAAGGAAATCTCACACCGTAAAAAGTGTGGATTTACCTGTCCAAGGTATGAGAAAGTTCTTTCTCAAATTTCATATGTAGATTCATTTTGGTCCCTAGTTGTGCCTTTTTGATTTTGGGACTGATAAGAAAAACAAAACTGGTTGACAAGTGATCATCTTCTATTTAGCAAGTTAAAGATTATTATCACTATTTCTTGAGAGGAATTTTTAAATTTCATATTTTTAAGAGCAAAATCAGAAGAAGAAAAAAGAAAAGGAAGGTGAAGATTTAACTTTTGAAGTGGGATCTTTATGTGTAAGCCTTGTTTATATTAATTACATTCATCATACCTCACAATCTATAATAGTGATAAGTATAATGGCCTGATGGTTCTCAGTAAGCTGTAGCACAATATTGTGACAGCTTACAATACTAGATATATTTTACACTGTGAAGACATTAATTGTGTACGTAGATTAATTATTGTTATTGTCTAACAGTCTGTATCCTGATGTTGTCAGAGTATGTTGTTACCACAGGACTATTGTGAATGACCATGCTATAGATCTCCACAAACCTCTACCACCAGGAGACCCATTAATGTTGACAAAAATATATCAGATACATTTGTTTGGGATTTAAATACTTAATGCTTATTGATGTCTTTTGTTGTTTGTTTGCCTCATTATGAAATATTCTAAATGTAACGCTTAAGTACTTTTATATGTAGTGTAATTTGAACTGGCACTGGGCCATTTGTGGTCTAATTTGTCCTCTCATGCTGATCAATATATAGCAGCCTTGAAAGTCTGTAATCCTGATTCCTTCCCAACTCTGGATATTTAAATTTGTCCATAAGTAATACTACTCGACACTAAATGTAGGATTTGGGTGGCTCTCCCCCATCTTCTGTGTAGGAGATCCATTATGTGGGATTACCTGAGGTTGAGGAACATATCTGGGGTGTATATACCTACCGACCTAGTAAACATTGTGAAGTGATATATATCAACATGATCTATATGAATGCCATGCAGTAATGTTGGTGGGTCTGTATTACAATACATTGGTATTTGTCCATTTTTCCACCTGAATTCCATACTATAACAGTAGATCATACCCATTAAATAGGGTTTTGTCTCACATTTAGTGTCAAGTGGAACTGACTGGTTGTAGGACTTTAACTTAGGACACATGGTATTGATAACTATTGATTATTGACAGCAGTTAGATCCAGAAGTATGGTGGTGGATATGGGTTCAATTCCTAATGCGAATGTATGGTTTCAATATTACCAGGGGTATATATCTTACCGACGGTGTTTTAAGTGAGACAACACAGCCATTCAGAGTTCAGGAATCAGGCTTTATTGACTCAAACATAACAATCTGTAACTCTGCAACAAATAATAATAAAACATGTTACATGCTTATGTTGTATTTGTACCTTTTTGTGTGGATCATTGACCTTTTCATGTGGATCTGTTGACCTTTCTATGTGTAACTATTGACCTTTCTATGTGGATCTGTTGACTTTTCTATGTGTAACTATTGAACTTTAAATGTGGATCTGTTGACCTTTCTATGTGTAACTATTGACCTTTCTATGTGGATCTGTTGACCTTTCTATGTGTAACTATTGAACTTTTAATGTGGATCTGTTGACCTTTCTATGTATATCTATTGACCTTTCTATGTGGATCTGTTGACTTTTCTATGTGTAACTATTGAACTTTTAATGTGGATCTGTTGACTTTTCTATGTGTAACTATTGAACTTTTAATGTTGATCTGTTGACCTTTCTATGTGTATCTGTTGACCTTTCTAAGTGGATCTGTTGACCTTTCTATGTGTATCTGTTGACCTTTCTATGTGTATCTGTTGACCTTTCTATGTGTATCTGTTGACTGTCCATGTGTATCTGTTGACTGTCTATGTGTATCTGTTGACCTTTCCATGTTGATCTGTTGACCTTTCTATGTGGATCTGTTGACCTTTCTATGTGTATCTGTTGACTGTCCATGTGTATCTGTTGACTGTCTATGTGTATCTGTTGACCTTTCCATGTTGATCTGTTGACCTTTCTATGTGGATCTGTTGACCTTTCTATGTGTATCTGTTGACCTTTCCATGTGTATCTGTTGTCTGTCCAATGTGGATTGGTTGTCCTTCCCCTCAAGCATCAATAATAGATACATCAACTGTATGTGGATATTACTCAACAATCAAAATCTTATATTTGTTGGGAGAACTAACATTTGAAGTTTGACACTTTGGAACTGTAGTGTTTTGACAGACAATACAGAGTTTCCTTTTAATTGTTGATATGGTTATTATTCCCCCTGTACACTGTAATGGGATTCTTAAAATGTCCTCAGGCCGCTAGATTTGGAATAAAGCAAATAGGAAAGTTAATTGATCAAAGTTTACTTCAGGAAATGTTTGGTTGATTGAATATGTGTATGGCTACATTATAGGTCATATGAACAGAATGAATAATCACTGAGCCAGATATTTAAATAAGCTATGTACATATACTGTATTAAACTTATATTCCATGTCCATTAGTTGATTTCTGACAGGCTGAAGTAGCTAGTTGTCAGCAGAAGTGAATGTACACTAGCAGAAAGTACTCTCATGTTTTGTCATCCTTCATTTTCAAGTACATTTATATGAATAAATCATTATTGTGAATTAATTAGCTGTAAATGTATTGATTAATTGAACAGTGTTTTTCCAGCTTTTATCCAATGCCTAAGTGGTGCTCCTGAGTTAAGAATGATACGAATACATGCCTTCCATTCCCTTTGCAGCAAGGTTTATGAAAAAGACTGTATATTTGTTGTCTGCTTGATAAAAATATTACAAACAATTGAATATTTTGGCCAAAGGGTAATCTCCTTGGCTTATCAAAGCGAAAAAGCACATCAAATTAGTAAGAAACATGTCTAAATTTTGATGATAGGTTGTGACCATTTGTTAGAGGGTATCAATGTAGGTTTTCTAAATTTCATATCATATTAACATATAGATGTCATGGTGAGACATACAGGGCATTATCAGAATTTCTAACAATACTTATATCTGATGACAAAGTACATCAAAAAATGTACCATTATATATATGTAGACTACCTGTGTAAATGTTTGCTATGTCGAGGAAATCAATGTAATATAAGTGTTGTGTGGGACCAGATAGGTACGCCCAGGCACTGTGTCTACACTCTACAAACAATCACACTTGATCAGAACTTCTGTTCATATTTACTTTGTCAATATGTATTGATGTTTTTTTTTTAAAAATATTTTTCTCCAGGTCTCTAAATGGTCTCTGGTATGGGGCAGACCGGAGGACAAGTCGACTGTGGCAATAACTGTTGGTGACCAGTGTATTGGTCAGTGGTATGCTGGTTTACACTTTTAGTATGGACATCTGTCTGTGATATATCCCTTGTGATGAGGATCATATGGCCTTGGCTTACCTGTGATATAGTGACCTTGACTTACGTGTGATATAGTGACCTTGGCTTACCTGTGATACAGACCTTATTGATTAATATCAGCACTTTGATTATATTGCCTGCGTTAAAAGTTGGAACTCTTCAGTGAAGCACAGTTATTTACCAGTGACTTTCTCGAAAAATGTGTTAACTTTTCACAAAGTCATGTAGCTATTGTATGGATTGTTTACAGTGTTATCATTGAAAACTTTTGTGTACTGATACATAATGATGCGTGGAATCCATCACTCTAACTCTTCGGAGTTACCACTGACGAGGAATATGCCATTCTCATCCAAGAGTGTCCCAACTCGTCATCAGCCTCGTAATATGACTGGGATCTACCTGGGATTGGTATGTGTATTGACATCAGGAAACACTCATTTTTATCATAAATGTAAAACTTTTTTGAAGAAGTCATCACTCGTACAATTGCAGATTTGTCCTTTAACACAAATTATAAGTGTTTGTCTAATTAAAAAGCTCTCTGGAAAATCTTTTAAATTTGTAAAATTGGAAATTTCATGAACATAGGTGGTCTCTCATGATATTTGTCATTGTAAGCAGTATTTATCGAAAATGAAATCTAATACTGAAAGTTGTGTGGTATGATTAGGACTTTCATTTAAAAATTGATTCTGTAAAGATTTTCTTTGTATCTTTTTATTCTAGGAGGGGAACATCAAACCACCACAACAGAAGTTTACAGGTGGGATCCCACCACTGGCTCGGGGGCGGGGCATGACTAGGATACGTACTCCTACAGAACACCGCAGATATGTAAGTAACAACAAGATGACAGCATCACTCACAGGTGATATCTTCATAAATTTTGTTTCAAACAGTAGGAGATTATCGATAAAGATTCACATTTTATTTCAAATCGTCAGAATGACAATATGAATTTGGTTAAAAATTAAAAGGCTTTGAAAAGTACTTGCTATTTGAATTCTATAATTATGAAATTAAAAAAAAAGTTGAAATACTGCTTATCTTAGTGATATGATTATCATGTCTTGTTATAGTTATGCAATGAAAATGAGTCTTTAGATATTCTGAGTATAATAGTTTATGACATTTATATCAACATTGCTTACTTTTCTGGAACACCTGGTCTTATTCTCCTTGTACTTTTTCAGGAGTCTCTGTATAAATCTTTATTTTGTTCATATTTTTAGTTAGTTTCCTGGAATTTGAGTTTGGATTATGATTAGGTTGTTATGTTGGTATGTTCTTAATGTTTAATGTAACTATTAATTCCTCAAGTTAAAACTGTGGTTATTAACCATAAATCATACCTGTATAGAGCTAGAAATAAAAATGATTTTAACTATGCATTTAACAGTTTCCTTTGATTTAGTAAACAGGCGAATAGCTGCCTTAATTTACACAAATACACAGCTCCATACACTTCATCACAATAAAAAACCAAATTATTTGCCAGATTATTTTAATTTCTTTCCAGCTTGGTAAGGACCTAAAACTCCCTAATGAGGCTCAAATCACATCAAAATCACTTCGCTAGATGTCATTTGAGATATACATGTCAGCATTACCACAGCTAATCACTGACTTACGATGAGCTTCTGTGAAACTGCTTCCTGTTTTGATAAATATATGTTTCTTTAAATCTTTCAGAGAAAAGTTGAACAGTTGCGGATTAAAGAGGAAAAAAGAGGATTTGTGGGTCAACCTTTGAAGGTATAATCACTTGTTACTATTATAAAATACATGTACTTATGTAACATAGTTCCTGTAGTAAAATACCTGTACTTATGTACAATAATTACAAATACCTGAACTTGTGTACCGTAATTTTATGAATAAAATACCCAAACTTCTGAACCATAGTTACTTTAATGAAATAACATGTACTTTTGTACCGTAAATGCTATGAATAATCCATTGTCTCTGTTAGATGGTAGAAATGTGTATCAACCCATTGATGTATGAGCTTGTGTGTGCAGGTTTTTTTTTATCATTATTTTGCAGATGACAGGCATGAGTGTTCAGTTAGATGCAAGATAAGATTTAGCACCATACAGCATCATATGATTAGAGCATATAAATCTTGTCTGCCTTTTAATAATCAGAACATTAACACCAGTTAGAGTGATCACTTGGTATCTAATAAGGCTTTACAGGGCTGTAGGAATGGTGCAATGATTATCAACACTGTCACTGTAGCTTTGAAAGAAGCATGTAGAAAGTCAGATGTGTTAACATAAAAGACATTCAATTGTGAATGCTGAAATGTTACTGAAGAGCACAATGTAAAAAATAGGCGACAAGTTCTATCTTTATGGTGTTAGACGAATAAAGAGATTGAGCGCCCTTTCTTTGTAATGGTGTACACTCAATACCAAGGAATGCCGATCAGAACCAATAACACTGATACACTTATTGATTTCTCACTGTTATTTCCTACTGAGAAATTCTCAAGCTGTTACAGAGATATGCTGACCTATGCAATGATTGCACAGCATTGGCAATTTTCATTAAGTCTCTAGTGTCCTCTCATATCGCTATATAATATGATAGCAGGAGGTAGAAAGGGATAAGGCTGTGATTGTGTAGGGATACTTGCCAGGAGATGTTTAAACACCTGGCAAGACCTTGTATCTAATGAAAGGTTATAGTTAATAAGCAAAGAATTGGCCACGAACACAACCTGTACCCAGTAGGTACCAAAGTCAGTCAGGTATACACCCTGTATCTAATAAGTACCAAAGTCAGTCAGGTATACACCCTGTACCTAACAAGTACCAAAGTCAGTCAGATATACACCCTGTACCTAATAGGTACCAAAGTCAGTCAGGTATACACCCTGTACCCAATAAGTACCAAAGTCAGTCAGGTATACAGCCTGGACTTAATAAGTACCAAAGTCAGTCAGGTATACACCCTCTACCCAATAGGTACCAAAGTCAGTCAGGTATACACCCTGTACCCAATAGGTACCAAAGTCAAACAGGTATACAGCCTGGACTTAATAAGTACCAAAGTCAGTCAGGTATACACCCTCTACCCAATAGGTACCAAAGTCAGTCAGGTATACACCCTGTACCCAATAGGTACCAAAGTCAGTCAGGTATACACCCTGTACCCAATAGGTACCAAAGTCAGTCAGGTATACACCCTGTACCTAATAGGTACCAAAGTCAGTCAGGTATACACCCTGTACCCAATAGGTACCAAAGTCAGTCAGGTATACACCCTGTACCCAATAGGTACCAAAGTCAGTCAGGTATACACCCTGTACCCAATAGGTACCAAAGTCAGTCAGGTATACAGCATGTACCTAATAGGTACCAAAGTCAGTCAGGTATACACCCTGTACCTAATAGGTACCAAAGTCAGTCAGGTATACACCCTGTACCTAATAGGTACCAAAGTCAAACAGGTGCCTACCTTGTCTGTCAGTCAGGTATACACCCTGTACCTAATATATTTGATAAATCCAGTCAGTCAGGTAAAGCTCTCCCAATAGGTACCAAAGTCAGTCAGGTTCTGTCTAATGTACCAAAGTACAAACCTGGTGGGGATTAAATGTCACCCTGATTTGTCATGTTTATTACACCATTAATCATCCAAAAGTGTAACCTTGAAGAGTTAGATTGAGGATTTTCAGTACCAAAAAAAAGGTAATTGAACATGAATTATTGGACAGGCACCTGCTGTTCAGATAAATTGAGTTATGTCTGTTATTACTTCTTTTGCATTAAAGTGATGAATCAGCCAGGTTCACTTTAACTAAACTTTAAAATTAATTTTGATTTTAACACAATCACTCTCAGATACTCCTGTATAATAATTCAAAGTCAGTCATATTACACATTACTGTTGTAACAAGTAGTAATAAATCCCAGATAGATATAAAATGGTTGGTGTATCAAATGGCCACATTACACTGAGATAATCAGTGCACTCTATAAGTATAACACAAATACCATCATACTTGATAACTACATTGGTTTTTAACTGAGGGCCTACCTTGTCTGTAAATATCTATTGATACATCCTATATTTGATAAATCCAGAAAAGCTCTCCCTTGGAAGTTTTCTCTGATACAAACCTGGTGGGGATTAAATGTCAGATTTGTCATGTTTATTACTTCATTAATCATCCAAAAGTGTAAGCTTGAAGAGTTAGATTGAGGATTTTCAGAAAAAAAAAGATTAATTGAATTGGAATGAATTATTGGACAGGCACCTGCTGTTCAGATAAATTGAGTTATGTCTGTTATTACTTCTTTTGCATTATTGATTTGATGAATCATTGGAGTTCACTTAACTAAACTTTTAAATTAATTTTGATTTTAACACAATCACTCTCAGATACTCCTGTATAATAATTCAGCAGTCATATTACACTTACTGTTGTAACAAGTAGTAATAAATCCCAGATAGATATAAAATGGTTGGTGTATCAAATGGCCACATTACACTGAGATAATTTTGCACTCTATAAGTATAACACAAATACCATCATACTTGATAACTACATTGGTTTTTAACTGAGGGGAAGCTTTGATCATACTAATTGATTTCTGTGCAACTCATTTACATTGAATAGTTAATAGGTCTTTCTTCCTGCTAAGAGGATTGAGTTCTATAATCTGGAGATTTAATCCAATATAATCTGTTGACCAATATAATAATAAAGAAACAGGCACACTCATTATTTTATACATTAAAATGTCATCATTAGTAAAAGATATCATATTTACATGTGGGTGTCTATGGGGCTGTAATGGTAAACCTGCTAGGATACACCCAATAAACCTTAAATATGACGCTATTTCTACACAGGTGTAAAAAGTCTCCCTATGAAGGGTGTCATTCACATACAACTATAAATATTTACAGTCTGAAAAAACATTCAGAGATATCAATATTTTCTGTTTTAAGTGTGACGCTCAGCCTCCCTTTGTCATTTGTCACTTAGGGACATACATACTCTCAAGGTTTGACTGAGACAGATGTCATCAGTCACTGTTTATCTGGACTTGTTTTACAATGAGACAGATGTAATCAGTGAGTATCTGGACTTGTTTTACAATGAGACAGATGTAATCAGTCACTGTTTATCTTGGCTTGTTTTACAATGAGACAGATGTAATCAGTGAGTATCTGGACTTGTTTTACAATGAGACAGATGTAATCAGTCACTGTTTATCTGGACTTGTTTTACAATGAGACAGATGTAATCAGTCACTGTTTATCTGGACTTGTTTTACAATGAGACAGATGTAATCAGTCACTGTTTATCTTTACTTGTTTTACAATGAGACAGATGTAATCAGTGAGTATCTGGACTTGTTTTACAATGAGACAGATGTAATCAGTCACTGTTTATCTGGACTTGTTTTACAATGAGACAGATGTAATCAGTCACTGTTTATCTGGACTTGTTTTACAATGAGACAGATGTAATCAGTCACTGTTTATCTGGACTTGTTTTACGATGAGACAGATGTAATCAGTCACTGTTTATCTGGACTTGTTTTACGATGAGACAGATGTAATCAGTCACTGTTTATCTGGACTTGTTTTACGATGAGACAGATGTAATCAGTCACTGTTTATCTGGACTTGTTTTACAATGAGACAGATGTAATCAGTCACTGTTTATCTGGACTTGTTTTACAATGAGACAGATGTAATCAGTCACTGTTTATCTTTACTTGCTTTAACAATGAGACAAATTTAATCAGTGAGTGTTTATCTGGACTTATTTTACAATGAGACATGTAGTCATTCATTGATTCAGATGTAATCTGACTGATTGAGTTGTTTTACATAGAGACAGGTAATCTTCCTGCCTTGTATAACCCATTTTAACATTAATTGTCACACATTTTTGAATCACATGTTGCTCATGTTAAGGCTACTTGACTTATGTTACTGACACTAAGTTATGAATAGTCCCAATGCAATCCACTTCAATGTTTCAGAGAGATGTGAATAAAGTGGGTTTGACTTACAAGAGAGAACAAACCTTAATGTCAATATTTGCATTACAGTATTGATGTCATTCTCACAAATTAAAATCACCTTTAGATATTTATGTATAGAATTAACATTCTACTTCAGCTACAACTCCTTTAGATTGTTAGGTATTTACATGCTTGATTTGTCATAATTTGAAAAATTTAATCACATGCTGATTAATGATACACATGACATTGAATTTAATAATAAGTTGTCTCCCCTGAGGGCCAATACCAATTATCACAGTTCAGCACTGAAATATTGATGTTGATAAATAGTTCTTGTAAGTACTGATTTGGTTATATATATGTCCTGCCTACAGGGTATGAAAAAGGCTGTTTTTTACAGAAGACTATAATAACTTGATATTGGTCAAAGTATTAGAACATCTGCCTAAAAGACATTAGTCAGCCATTGCAAAAAGGTTTTTTGTGGTAAGCAAGTAAAACTTTTGCCTCAAATAACATTAAGATAACCTGAACACCTCAAGTCTACTGATATATAATTTCATCAGTAGCATGCTAGGATAATGAGCTAGTTTTCTTGTTCACACGAATCCATCCTCTGTCAAGGTCACAGGCCTAAACAGTCCAATGGGTTAAAACTTCCTGAACCTCTTCAGTAACAAAGTGACATAGAGTAATTCATATAATGATATTGGATGTAGTTGTATGATGAATTTAGTGCTATCAAGTTAATAATCCTGC